GAGGATAACTAGAAGATGGATACTCCATGCGACCACATCCCCGGTTGCGTTGCAAAGAGGATATGTGCCTCGGGGTATAGATGAGAGAGAATTAGTAAGTATTTTTATTAGTATTTTTCAATATTGCTAAATTATGTTTTTTTTAAAATTTGCAGGTATCAGCAATAGATGATGTTCAAACCATTGCAAATCGTGGCTTGGAATTGGCTCGAGCAGGTAATATAGAATTAAATATAAAATTTACATATTGTAATTTGAATTTTAAAGTAATTTTTGCATTTCGGATTTTTTTGAATTATCTCTCGCAGGTACATATCCTGAAGCACAGAAACATGCATCAATATATCAGTCGATAATGCAGAGGCTTCACCAAGCCTTACATCGAACTCATGAAGACCTTCATAATGGACGAGAGGTAGCGCAATTAGTATACACACGTCAACAACGACACAGACGAGGACGACGCAGAAACGACAATGAAGCTGGGCCTTCCCAACGTGTTGACGATGGAGCTGGACCGTCACAACCACAAACGTAACCGGATCATGAACTCATCGAAGGTCGGGATGGAGGAGGCCGAAGACAAAGGAGGAGAAGAGTTCTTGGATGTATATAAGCTAATCGGTATTGTTATATAAATTACAATCCTATTTTGATATGTACATTACAAACGTATTTCGGGACAATAGATGGTTTTTGGATTTGTAGCCGAGACTGTGGTGTGACTTATTAGATTTGTAAGTGGGTTTGTGGCGTGATTTGTTGAATTTGGATTCGCAAGTTTGTGGTGTATTTTATGATTTTTAGATTTGATATATGTGTTTATACAGGGAATTGACATATGAGTTTGTACAGGGAATTGATATGTGTTTATGCAATGGTGTAATTTATGATTGTTGCATTTGAAGTATGAGTTTGTACAGGGAATTGATATATGTGTTTATGCAATGGTGTAATTTATGGTTGTTGCATTTGAAATATGAGTTTGTACAGGGAATTTTCCCGCAGCAGAAATACATGCACATTTGTGAATGTGCAGGAAATACACGGGACTGCTAGTCCCGTGCATTTCATTGTGCTCAGGAAGTGCACGGGACTAGCAATCCCGTGCACTTCTTTTTTTAGAGATGTAACTCTCTGCAAAGTGCACGGGACTGCTAGTCCCGTGCATTTCATTGTGGCCACGAAGTGCACGGGACTAGCAATCCCGTGCACTTCTTTTTTGTAGACATGTTACTCTCTGCAAAAAACACTGGACTGCTAGTTTCGTGTATTTCAAAGCTGGGTTGAAATACACGGGACTAGCAGTCCCGTGTATTTCGTAAAAATTGTCTTACAGCAAAACCGACCATTTTCTTCTGAAAAAGGTCGGTTTTGCTGAATAAAATCAGATGAGGTCGATTTTGCTATTTAAAATGCTAAAAATGTTGATTTTGAAAATTTATCCTTTAGTATATTGCAAATTACCCCTCCAAAGTTTGAAATTTTTCAATGATTTTTTGTAGTTTCTTGGATTTTAATGTATATTGCAAATTACCCCTCCAAAGTTTGAAATTTTTCAATGATTTTTTGTAGTTTCTTGGATTTTAATGTAATTTTTAATAGTTTTGTGTATTTTTTGAAATTTTTCAATGATTTTTTGTAGTTTCTTGGATTTTAATGTAATTTTTAATAGTTTTGTGTATTTTTTAATTATAAAAGCTTAGGGTGTTTGTTTTACAATTTTAAAAACTTTTGAGAGTATTTCTTTTGTAGTTTTCTAAATTTTCATTGTGTTTTTAGTGTAATGCATAGATACATCAATTAATGATGATATTAAAGAGTAAATCGTTCTTAAGATGTATTACGCTATAGTTAAGTGTGCACATCACTATTTTTAGGCACTATAGTTTATACATGCAAAAACTTTTAAACAATCAATATGTTGGTTAAAAGGTTTTTAACATTAGTGTACTATTTTTTATAAATTATATTTAATGTGAACACCATATAGTTTTAACTGTAGTCATTATAATTTTAATATGTTTAATCGATTGACTATATAAGTATACAGACCATAGATTACTTTACTTTCTCGCATGAATGAATATTAGGCACTTAATAATTTAAATTATTACTTTCAGACCATAGATTACTTTACTTTCTCGCATGAATGAATATTAGGCACTTAATAATTTAAATTATTACTTTTAAATTATATTTATTTATTTAGCTACATAATTTAAATTATTACTTTTAAATTATATTTATTTATTTAGCTACAGGATAATACAATTTCAATTCCTAGCCCTTGTAAAAAATACCCTCTAAGTTTTTAAATTGCAAAAACACCCCTACAAATTTAAAAATTTATTAAAACATCTTAAAAATATAAATTTTACTTATTTTAATTCAGTGAGAAATCTTAAAAAGATATGCTAGCTAAAAAATAAAAGTTTTTAACATTGGAGAAAGTATATTGTAAGTTTAAAAAAAATGAAAAAACACTCCTAAAATTCAAAATTTGTAAAAAACACATTGAAAATTTCAAACATATAAATACAATAAAAACCTAAAAATAACACAAACAACCCCTAAAAATTTATGGAATTTGCAATAAAACTCTAAACTTGTTACAAATTACAAGATAAAACCCTCAAGATTGTAAAATTTATAAAAATCCTGATAATTTCCAACCTAACAATATATTAGAAATATAGGAGTTACAAATATTCCCTGCATAATTTATAATATATAGAAAACACCCTTAAAGTTTTAAAAATTACAAACAAACACTCAAAATTCAAATTTTACAAAAAGCACTCTGAGAATTTCAAACTCATTAGTAAATTAAAAATATAGGAATTATAAATAATCTATAAATAATTTACAATCTATAGAAAAGGCCTATAAGTTTAAAAATTTATAAAAACCCTTAATATTCATAATTTATAAAAAAACACCATGAGAATTTCTAACCTATAGACACTAAAATGAATATACAAAATCACTAGCAACCCCTAGAAAATAAAAAATTTACAAAAAAAAATATCATACTTCCTTTAAAAGTATAGGTTTAGAAAAAAATTCCATGGTCAATATTACCATAACTTTTTAAAAAAAAAATAACTGATTAAAAATTTATTAAATTTGAAATTTACAAAAAAAACTTAAAGTTTAGTACATTGCAAATTACCCCTCCAAAGTTTAAAATTTTTTAATAATTTTTTGTAGTTCCTTGATTTTAATGTAATTTTTAATAGTTTTGTGTATTTGTTAATTATAAAATTTTAGGGTGTTTGTTTTTACAATTTTAAAAACTTTTGAGGGTATTTCTTTTGTAGTTTTCTAAATTTTTATTGTGTTTTTAGTGTAATGCATAGATACATCAATTAATGATGATATTGAAAAGTATGTCGTTCTTAAGATGTATTAGGCTATAGTTAAGTGTGCACATCACTATTCCTAGACAGTATAGTTTATACATGCAAAAAATTTCAAACAATCTATATAGTGGTTAAAAGGATTTTGACTTTAATGTACTATTTTTTATAAATTATATTTAATGTAAACCCAACATATAATTTTAACTATGATCATTATAATTTTAATATGTTTAATCGATTGACTATATAAATATGAGTGAAACCACAACTAAAAGTTAATGTGAATATGAGTCAAACCACAACTAAAAGTTTAATGAACATATTACAAGTAAATTCATATGCAAAATTCCTTTGCAAATTGAATGATCACTCATCTTTTAAAGACTTTAAGATACTAATAAACAAATATATTGTACTAGATCAATGTGTTTATAACTCACAAATAGTAGATCACGTAGCGATAGTCTGGATTGAAGTATATTGTACTAGATCAATGTGTTTATAACTCACAAATAGTAGATCACGTAGCGATAGTCTGGATTGAAGGAAACAATGATAATATTTTATTTGAAAAACTCACAAATAGTAGATCACGTAGCGATAGTCTGGATTGAAGGAAACAATGATAATATTTTATTTGAAAGAGAGATTATTATGTTGATAATCAATCCGCAAAAAACTTTATTTTCTCTTTTATTTTTAACCTATTTTTATCAATTTAAATAACCATGATATTCGACCACATGCATTGCATGTGTAATCTAACTAGTGAATATAAACAGAGCACACTTCATAGTACAATATCGACTCGTTAATATAGTTCTAAACATTATTACATAAACAGGACAAAGGGCACACATTAAACATATTGCACAGCAAATAAATTTAACATGAGGATACTTTTAGTGAACCAAAGTTATTACCAGCATTACTAATTACCAAGAAAAGATCTATGGATAGTGGATAACCAATATGCAACTTGAAAGCATAAGGGGATCAGGTGCAGGAACTATATGCATTTAAATTAGACATTTGCCAACTCAAATCTAGGTAACATTTTAAATATTTATTCTGACATCACACTGAACTCAAGATTGGTCTTAAGAGTATGATTAAGATATCACAATATCGACTCAACCATGGTGCCCCAAATATTAATTAAAGCTAGTAGGGATGCAGGGAGGGTGTGGCCTACTTCAAGAGGGATTTGGAAATAAATCATTAGCACTGAATTAGAACAGTAAGATATCCAAAGTTCATCCTTCCAACGTTCATCCTTCTTTCTAGCATGTATAGCTCCTAAATAACNAAGTAATGGTTTTTAGTTAAAAGGTTTAGATATCTGGTTAAATCCCTTTTTATTCTTGAGGTTTTTTTTTCCCTCTGACTAATGTAATTTATTTTGTCCGGTTAAAATAATGTGTATTGATTATCTCTAGGAGATATTAGGCAATTTTTTAGCATGAAAGGAACCTATTTGAATATTTAAGAACAATTAATTCCTTTTGACATAAAAATACGTCAGCTCCGAGGTGAGAAACCTATCTTGAGGGAAATATTGGAAACAAAGTCTTATGCTGTAAAGAAAATAAGATTGCCCACAATGGGAAATCCGTAAAGTAAAGAATTTTTATTTTCTGCTCTTTTGAAAGATCTGCTTCTTTTTCTTTTGCTACTGCGTCAGCATAGAATGGATTACTAAAATTGCAGTCTATTTCATCAATCTCCTCTACCTGAAAAAACAATAAAAACCGAAGTTAAAAGAAATACAATTGCTTAAAGGCCACATCACCACTTTACCGATAAATGCAGCTTCTTACTGATGTAAAAAAAATGAGCACATTGAAGGGAAAGGAAATATCATTTTCACACTAACAATGACTTAATCAAAAGAAATGACAGAAAGAAGTATGTTACATGGATATGGGTGCGGGTACAAGACACGGAAAATTTGTAAAAGGTGAGGATATAGGGATGGCAAATACACACACATTGTATGTATGTATTATATTATATATATATATATATATATATATATATATATATATATATATATATATATATAAGGAATATGGGTATGCTTGGTACCAAGCACAAAATTTGTGCTTGGTAGTGAGGTGGTATATTATCCTCCACTCATTCAAATGGAGGGATCACATTCACATGGGTTGAACGTGGTCCCCCAATTGAATGAGTGGATGGGAATGAGACACCTCACTATCAAGCACAAAATTTGTGTTTGGCACTGTTTTAAAAAACCTCCGTCTAGTCCGCTTAGGCGTACGCCTAGGCCTAGGCGGTACCTAGGCCGCCTAACTAGCGCCTAGCGCCTAAGCGGTATTTAGGTTGCCCACCTAGATTTTACGAACGTTTAGGGGAGTATTGTCTGCTTACGTGGATTGCACTCTGTAGGCCTTGATTGTTATTTTAGGTGTCGTAGCCTACATGTCCTCTAAACTCCATTAACCTCCAAATATGAATACCTCCACTACCTCCTCCGACCTTCAGCAAAACCTCATCGATCACCACTTAAATGAAGAAAGAAAAAAAACGTCCAGAAATCGCTTAGGCGCCCGCCTAGGGGACTAAGCGCTGGGCGCCAAGACCGACGCCTAGAAGCGCCCAACGTTTAATGTAACATTGGTGTTTGGTACCAAGCATACCCATTTTTCTCTATATATATATAGAGAGAGAGAGCAATATGGAGGAACTTGGTACCAAGCACAAGTTTTTGTGTTTGGTAGCTAGGTAGTTCATTCAAATTCACTTATTCAAATGGGAGACCACATTCGCATGTGTTGGAGAGTGGATGAGAATGTGACACCTCACTACCAAGCATATATTTTGTGCTTGGTACCAAGTTCATACATTTTTCTCATATATATGTGTGTGTGTATATATATATATATATATTATATATATATATATACACACACACACACATATGTGTGTGTATATACGTGTATCTATATGTATGTATGTGTGTGTATACTGATTTTGTTTTCTCATTCACATGTTATGAAAAGTAAAATTCCTATCACATTTGTATGTTTCATTTATTATATTATAAATAAACTGGAAAACTGCTCGTTTTTAGACTAGACACCTAAACGACCCTTTAAGATCATACTTCTGAACAGGGAATGGCTGAAGTAAAACCAGATCTCTGTCTCGCAAGTTGCAAGAAGTGGATGTGAAAGGTAAGATATATGTCTAGGAAGTGTAGGACGAGTGTTTTAAATGAAAACATTATTATTTAGTTGAATACATGTCTGAATAAATATATGCATACAAGGAGTGTTCAAGGAGTTAGACACGTGTCAGACACGGGTATGGGAGCCCACACCAGGTGTCAGGGTAACTAAAGAGGCATGTCTATTCCCATGGCAAATGAAAGTAATGGCTTTACTGCTTCTAGATTCATTTTACACAGCAAAATAGTTTATGCACTAGAAGATGCTTGAGAGGATGCATTATACAGGGATACCCATCGTCAAAAAAACAGCCCGCTAGAAGACTCAGTATTAACCACAGATATGAGGATGCCTTCTAACACGGCATTATTACATAAATAGAGAACAAGTTATAAGCGATATGACCGAGTATCAAAAGGTACTGGATGGAAAGTTTCCAGGAAGTGCACTACCTCATCAATTCCAGGTAGTGTTATCCCCAAGTCTGCGGCTTCTTGGGGAGTATTTGCCAAGTACACTGATGCCCAATTTTTGCTACCAAATGAATTGTTGTCTGAGCATCTACCAGATTGAACAATCTCATTGAAGGGACCCCAATCTTTGTCAGGATTTTCCTTTATATTGTGCTTATCTTCAATAGAAAGCTTTTTTGTTAGAAACCCACTAGCACCTTCCTCCAACAGTTTACCATGTTTTCTGATAGCATAAAAAATAACTGATAAGCCGAGGGGGGTGGGGGGAAGATTACTTTGAAAAGAAAGAATATACCTCCTTACGGGGTGGCAACTTTGGAGGTAATTTTCAGCATCTCTTACAGATTGAGTCAGCTCGCTAGTAACCTGTGAACCTACCCAGTGTGCCCTTTTTTTCCAAGCTTCAGTAGAACAAACATCAGGAGCCTGAGTTTCAATCCACTTGTAGAGAGTAGGGAGCTCAATACCAGCCCCATCAAGTTGTTCCTGCAAACAACATCATGTTATATAATAATAACAGGGCACACAAAATTTCAGAGAGACCATGATAGCAGGTAAAATATAGAGCAGCTTAAGCCCATTATATAAGTTTTCCAGGTATTTAAAGGACAAGCTTAAAGTCTTTACAACTCGAAGGGGAATGTAACGTATCAAGTGATTTAAATACCTACAATCACATTCATCCAAAACTAAATAAGGAAAGAAAAAGGTCCAAAGTACTGAAAATCTAACTCTCATATATAATATTGCCGATTTTCCATACTGTCCAAAACTGAAGCCCTTACGGTACAGCTGAATCAAAATACCAGATATAAGGTGAAAGCTCACACATAGCATCTTGAAGAAATCAAAATACCAAATATACGTGTGGAGCTAAATGCTATGCGGGGCTAAGTGCTACATTGCGTAAGGGCGGTGAGAGACGCCTCTAGAGCCCACACCACCTGGTGGTGATACTAGGATGTGTCAATTGTCTTGTTACGACGAGGACGTCGCCTTTGTAAGGTGGGGTAATTGTGGCATCCCCTGCTTTAGTCCCACATCGGGAGTTCACAAAAATAATATAGTGTTTAAATAGATAAGCATAGGATTCAAATGTAGCATCGGCTAGTCGACTTTGGTAGTGGTTTGAGCCAAACACCAAACTACACCCAATGGGTCTCATGGCTTGCAACGTGCCAACAGACTCGCGAGCCCGAGGCGTGACAAGCTCCATGTCAAATCTCGTAGATAAGGGCTGATGCTAATTTGTCCAGTCTCTATGTAGTTTGGTGGTCCAATCTCTAATGGGTAGTTGAAAGTCGTAAAGATCTAGAAGTACCTACATAAATGTCCTGATGAGTGATGACCACCATAATGTAAACCCCTAACTTAAATACTTAAATACTATATTTGTAATCTTTGGTAACCAAGGTCAAAGAGTGGAAGTTCACACATCACAAAGCTTATGTAGCTACATCTATGTAAAACACTAACACAAGGCGAAGATATAAGCACTTTGGTCAATAAGCTTTTGGTATATCATGTATGACACCTAACCTTGTACATCCATGGGAATGCGGTCACAAATATGGTAAGATGCTACACCTGCATATGAAATATAAATTGTATCCGCCTCAATACAGATTCAAGTTAGAAGTGCTCTTGCTACCTAATTGAAGCTAAACGGCATAGTTAAAAAGGGATCCATCCACATGTCCAAACTTAGTGCTAAAGAAACTTGGTCCTGAATCTCATTGTTCACAAGGGTCAGATGACAACTCTTAGACATAGACAAATTCTTATACTAAAGTATATATTATCCCAAAAACCAAAAAGAATTGGTATTTCTATCAAATAGCGGAAGAACTAATAGCCTAGGGACTTCTGAGGATGGTCATACCAAAACCAACTCAAAGTCTCAAATAGGAATGTAAACCTGTAACGAGACTGGTGATCTACTCTTTATACTTATAGGAGGATCCAAAAAATCATTATTCATACTACAGTGAATTACTGTATCATAAACAGTGCATCAGATCTTGCCTCCTCGCTCGAAGTTTTTGTTCATGATCTGGTCTTTTTTCACCCACTCGAAGTCACTGTTCATGCTACAGTATTATAGTATAAACACTAAATCAGATCTGAGCCTCTATACTTGAAGCTACTATTTACTATAGTATAAACATTAAAACAAATTAAATGTATTAAAGCGTGGATTCTCCTTCAAGTATAGAGTAGATATGATTTCTAAATCAAATGTATTAAAACTAAGATTCTTCTTTAAGTATATAGGAGTATATATAATTTCTAATTTTAAGCGTACAATAATTAAATCAAATGTATTAAAACTTAGAGGAAGGCAAGTTCAAAATGCGGTGCTTAAAAAACAGAGGGTCGTGCTTTGCACAGGGTGCACACTAGTTAGTCTCAAAGCCTAAACTAAGGACAGAAAGAACAGGAAAAGAATAAGCGTCGGTCAATATGAAGTATTATTTTCTGATGAAGCATGTAGACTTTGAAAAAGAGCAGAAAAGAAACAATATAGGTAACCCAAAACTTGCTCAAAGTGGGATTCAAGTGTGAAACAATATAAACAAGTTTGCATGAGCAACGCTCAAATTTCTCGTGTGCATGATGCAAATAAAACTGGAATGACTATAGCATCCAGCCCCAGGGAAGAAACTACTTGTTCAAATATTAGCCATCAAAATTCAAAAGCAAACTTAAATGCTAGTTTGTTCAATAAAAAACATCCGATCAAACAAACGAAATTGGCTTCAATTTAAGCATTTTCTCCCTCCTAACTGTCACTCTATAGCTTTAAAAGTGCCTCCTTTCTAATGTAGACCAAAATGCAACGAGAATAGCTGGAAAAAATCAGTAAAGTAAAATACACAGTCAGTTTTAAGTACAGAGCAATGTCAATTATTATATTCATACAGCTAATGCACGAATATATATCTTAAATCAGAAAGACAAAAAACATACTAGTTCAAATCACTGCTACAAGAACTGCAATATCCAGAGTTCTGAACTATTTCAAGTAGAAATTATTATATGCAACCATACATTCGAGTTTTGAATCTTTGATGCTAAACAACTAGCGTAGCATGTCTCAAACAACGGAGAAGCATAGGTGTACTGAGAGCAACTTTTACAAGATGTAGCCCAGAGAGCTCACCAACAGTAGAGAACTCTGAGTCTCCAAATCATCAAGCACAGCCTCCCACTCCTCTATGAATGTTTTCATCTCAGTTGACACAGCCATTTCCAACTATGTGAAGTAAGGTAGGAAAGCATCAGCAAGAAGTAGTATGCATGGAATAAGGAAAGTGTTATCAAAATAAAAGAAAAGAAAAACTAACTGCATCGCCGTGAAGATTCTGTGCCAATTCTTCCCTCACTTCACATTCAACTCGTGCTATTGACTCCTTCTCAAGGGACTCTTGCGCCTCTGCTGCCTAAAACCAAAATGATGATGGAAGGGGAAAAATATTGCTTAACACAGTTCAGAAGAAACATTACAACGAAATAATACCTTACTTTCAACTTCAAGCAATTCAGCAACTAGTCCCTCAATCTCAGCATCAGTAAGAGGAACCTGCAAATATCAAGCAATAATAACAATTGTAAGTATCATTAGTCAGAAAATAGGCCATCAAGTAAAATATTTGAAACATTAGACAAATAATTACTTCACTACAACTATCAAGTTCGCACAGACATGTGCATAGCTCACAATCACTCACATGTATAATAAAGGGGATATTACGTTATCTGAAATAGTCTACTGGTCTCTTTAAGTTAGTAACAAAAGCATGGTCAGCATCTTTGCATGTGCAGAAGTTTCCATAAGTCCTCACTAATCTTGTACAGCATGTCCATAAAAAAGTCAGACGTGAATTGGATTACGCTTATGAGTGGGCATGCCAGGAATACATACTGAGTTTGCTCAAACAACACCTGGTATTATACTAATAACCACTAAAGAAATTATATTTAGACTAGGTCCATCCTGCCGCTACCACGACCACAGTATTATACTAATAACCACTAAAGAAATTATATTTAGACTAGGTCCATCCTGCCGCTACCACGACCACAATATCTTAATCCAAACATGGGATAAATGGAACAGGAAATACAAGAAGAAAAAGTTTCAACTGAGATTCAGGATTCAGAATGATTTCAGAACAAAAGTATACGTATTATACTAATAACCACTAAAGAAATTATATTTAGACTAGGTCCATCCTGCCGCTACCACGACCACAATATCTTAATCCAAACATGGGATAAATGGAACAGGAAATACAAGAAGAAAAAGTTTCGACTGAGATTCAGGATTCAGAATGATTTCAGAACATAAGTATACTGAATTACAGATAGATGTTCTCTACAACGATCAGAAATCAGATTTCTTAAAGGCTTCTTTAGAAAGAATATAAAGCTCCGTTAGATTAATGATACACTAAAAATAGTAATGTGTGTCATTCATTTTTATCTATACCACCTGAATGGAGTAAAAACCAAAAAAATCAAATGATCGCTGGGTTTGGCAGCTTTCTATCAAATGGGTACGGAGCGCAGAATTAGTGAGAGACTGATGTCTAAGATCAAAACCATTGACCATGACATAGAACTTTTGAAACATAGATCTCATCATGGTGCATGCAGAGATATAAATTTTTAAAGACCAACCTCAAAATGATCATTGGGATTTGATGCAAGAATATATGTAGGCTGTCTAAATATCACTGCAGATAGTTAATCCCCACAAAACACAAATGATGGATGTCATGATCTGACAACTTTCATATCAATCAATGAGAGTTACAATTTGACGATTCTCACAACAACTAATGATGGAATTTACAATCTGACAACTTTCGCAACAATAAACGAGAGTTACAAACTGACGACTCTCACATCTCAAAGAGCCAAAGGCTCCTTGCAACACTCCAACAGAAGAGATTACAAACTGACGACTCTCACATCTCAAAGCAACACGCGGAAGTTATCACCGCGTTCCAAGCTCAAAACGCGGAGCTCACCACCGCGTTCCAAGTTCAACACGCGGAAGTCATCACCGCGTTCCAAGCTCAAAACGCGGAGTTCACCGTGTTCCAAGCTCAAAACGTGGAGTTCACCACCGCGTTCCAAGTTCAAAACGCGGAGCTCACCACCGCGTTTTCAGTTCTAAATGTGAGGGTCGTTTCCAGAACGCGAATCTCGCCTTTGACTGATTCAAACACGTTTTAAACGGTTACAAAACCGTTTTCCACGAATTAAGGGCACTAAACCCTCATTAAGGAGCGACTTAAGGAGTCAGTTACACCCCTTAAACCCCTATAAATAGCTGAAAAATCAGGTATAAATGAGAAGAGGAAGAAAAGGACTTTTGGATCAGATCTTTTAGGAGAGCTTTGAAGATCATCTTTAAGGCTTTTTGAGAGCTTTTGCCTTGGCTTTTCAACCGTTCTCGGTTGAAGAACTGAAAGATCAATTTGATCTCTGGTTTTTAATTTAATTAAAAAGGATTAATTTTCTTTCTGAAATTAACTCGTCCAAAGTTCATAAACTCGTTTAGAGTTCTAAACTTGCATTGCAAGTTCTTCCCGACATCAAGCCAAAGGGAATAGATCACGTTCCACGAAGTGAAGTGCTCGGATCGTCAACGGGATATAAGAATCAAACTCTCATCGTCACCAAGAAGAACCCAATTTTAAACAAATAAAATTATCTCCGTCGATTCCTTCTCTCTTTTGTAAATCGGGAAACCGATAGAGAAAAATTAACCATTAATTCATTTAGATGTTAGATATTTTCACGTTATCCATATATGGAGATATCGTGGTTTGTGTAAGTCTCACCCAGAATATAGCACAATTACTAGTTGTTATTGTATGTCCTGAGTAAAATTTTACATGTTCATGCAACATAGCAAATAAACAAAACGGTTGACATCAAATGTGCAGGAAATCATAGATAATGCATTACCGTCTAAGTAACATTAAATTAATATTTGTACATATAACTACAAGAGCTTATAACAGTAAAATATTGTGGAGTGGTGTGAAGATAAATGACAGGTATGAGTAGCAGAAAAAGGACCATGGTACCATAAGTATGTACTTTACCTCGTTGATTGTTTGATCGTCACTTCCCGAAACGGACGATTCTTCGCCGTCAGATTCATCAGTAACCTCCTCAGTATTCTGTGATCCCTCCATTTCTGTCACTGCAGCATACTTTTCATGCTCCTTTTTTCCTACATCCTCAACCTCGTCTTTAGGCTCCTCCATATTTCGACACTTCAATTAAATTACCTCATACTTCAATTAAACCTCACATTGAGATTGCTAAATTTATTTCTCAATTAGATATGACAAATTAGAGTTTAAAATATAAAAAAAAATAAAAGCATTAAAGTTCCCTACAAATCTGAAGTGTAACCGGAAAACCTAATTTAGATTTAGATGAAAACAACCATAAAAATCCATTCTGAAAAAACCCTGAAAGGATTCAGAAAACCCAAAAAAAATCCCAGAGAACCCTAGAAACCCTAAAAAAAAGGATAAAAGCTATAATACTTACCTTTGACTTTAAAATGCCCCTGACAAGTTCGTCGGTGATATTTTCCGTCATTGAAGCCCCCGGCGACCTCCCGTCGACGGGATTTTAGACGTCATCGAGCATAGTCGCGGCTTCGGCTGATGATGGAGCGATGCTTCCCTGAGATGGGTCGGATGTGAGTGAGAAAGAAAACCACGTGGAACGGTGGTTGTCAAACAGGCGGGTTTGGGTTATTGGGTTTAAAAAACTGACCCGGCTGCCAAATGAACCCCATTACGCGTGAGTTAAAAGAAAGGGGGTTAATCTCACAAAGCCCCCCGTGTCTAGATGACGTTGTGCATATAACCCCTTTGAACTTTGTTTGTCTCACTTAACCCCAGTGGACTATGGGGTGTCTCTCAAAACCCCCTAGACTCTACTTATCTCACCTAGCCCCCCTACCTATAATTTGCAAATAACTAATAATTTCTTGAAGGGAAAACTCAAAATTTTGGGGAGGGAGCATATTGCCTCTAAATAACAAGCGACAGATTTTGAGATTTTTTTTTTTTCAATCGAATTATCGAAGACATTTTAATCATTACAAATTATATATAAACTTAGTGAATAGCGGAGATACGCTTCATTTATGGATCCTTATATATATACACAAGAAACCTCAAGAAATGGGATGTGCATGGCAAGTACGATCGAAACCTGCGTGTTACCTAGAAATCAAACCTCCAAACGGTTTGAGCAGGCAACTAGGCTTTTGAAACTGAATAATGAACATGATTTCACTCTACTCCGTGTTTGACAAATAGATATGTATATATAAAATGTCTTCCTGTCACCATTGTGCTTGTGAAGTCATTGAAACTCGAATGTAATTGGCAAAATGTGAGTTTTCAACTATAGTACTCCTATTTAAACACAATGTATTAGTTAAAATATGTTGGATAATTTACTCATATTTTGAAAAACAATATATTGTATACGTGAAAATATATTAAGTTACTCTCGGCGAAGAAATAATAAGAATCCCCCTGGAGATCGAACTATAAATTAGAGGATAAATTGGTAGACACGAATATTTCAGGAAAAATTTAAACATAAATAGATTCGATGGATATAGTTGAACAAATCTTGTTTTAGTTCGTTCGCATTTTGCAATTATTTTCTATTATATATTTCTTTTCTTTTCGGCGAAAATGCCCTTATAACTGCTACTTCTCTGCCATTGAGTCAGATCTTCCTGGTATTGTAGCAAAATATGGTCCAAAAAGTTGCTTTAGTTTATAGATTAGAAGATTTTTAATTCTAAATGCTTCTCAGGTATAAAATATTAGAGCAAAAAAAAAGTTGAGAGCTAAAGAAAGCTTAATTACAAATTGACAAGGACTGGATTGCGAAGTTTCATAACTAAAAAATTTTCATAAACAAAAATTTCATAGAAAATATATAATTAATTTGGCTACTAATGTTTATTGCAAGTTTCAATGTAGATACTTCTTCGTAGAAGAACGACACTACTGTTCAGACCCCTACATCTGGATATTTCATCGAAACCTCTTTAATAATTAGTTAGGTTTGTGAAAAGTTAAAACAATGAGAGTTCTGTGGGCTAAAAATGAAATATAATCTAAACGTTTATACATATAAATTACAATTCAATTTAATATTTACATTTTCTTCTATCTTATTCAGATTGAAAATTTCATATAAAAGTAACACCTACGCTATAAATTCTTAACCAAAATAACAATCATAGCCATTAGCCCAAAGGTGAAGATAGTGCTCGAAGAGGGAGTTTTTTTCTTTTCTTTTCTTTTCTTTTCTTTTCTTTTCCTTTCTTTTCCTTTTTTTTTTGTTTGTGCTCTGTTTGGCAAAACTAGCTGAAAGCTGCGAGATTATAGCTGAAAGCTGTGAAATTATAGCTAAAAGCTGATTGACTAGACCTGTTTGGCAAAAGAAGCTGTACAACTAGCTTAAATTTGTTAAATGATTAAAAAAGACATGTAATATTATTGATATAAAATTAGAATTATTAGGGGCAAAAACGGAAGAAGAAAAATTGGCAGCTCTTTCCCAAATACCAACGCTACTTGAGGTAGCTTTCCAAAAGCTACTTGCAAAAGACACAATATTCAAAATAATCTCCTCCTATATTTGGTCACCAAACAGCTTATTGACCAAGTCAATAAGACACAATCTCTTAGATAAGACACAATCTCTTATTGCTAAACAGTGCCAAACTAGTCGGTGCTAGTTCAAAAGTGACTTCAAAAGAAGGAAAACTATAAATTTGAGAAAACCCTACTTTTAAATAGATATAAAAATTTTATCTTCTAAGCCACACGTCGATGAGAAAAGTCTATAATCTGATAATCTTATTTTTTTAGTACTAAACACTTTTAAATATGAATTATAGAAAGCATGGACTTAGTTTCTCTACATTGAATTTAAACTAAACTATATACAACAGAAGCTGGCATGTACATTTCTGGTCTCTTTTCCAAAAGGAAAAAAAGAAATGAATCATAAGTAAAAACTGCAAATGATAAGAAAATAAAGTCATTTAGAATTTGAATCCGAGCATACACTGGGCTCTATAGTTCATTTTCTGGTAGAAGAGGAAAATGTTATCAATATCATAAGTAGTTGACGTCGTTTAAAGCACAAATTTTATAGGACTATGTCGTGTTTAGATGAATGCATTGTCTATAAATAGAGAAAACTAGATTGTTTTAATAACAATGACGCGTGACAAGTACATCTACGATCTCTTTCTTAGAAGGCAAAAATAAATGAATCATAATGATCATATATTACATGCTATACAAAAATAAGTTACTAGGGTCGATCGGTGGTTCATTTTCTAAAAAAAAAGAATAATAATATCATGAGTAGTAATGTTGTTTAAAACACGAGTTTATGAGAACATGCTATATCTAGAGGAACATGTTTCTCTTTAAATGGACAGAACTGTTTTGCTTTCAATAATAGCTGTCATGGTTGGTACATATGCATCTATATTCTTCATCAAGCAAAAATTAAATGAATCATGAGTGCATATTACATACTACCATGTGAAAAGAAACTATTTGAATTTCGGGCTACGGTTCATTTTCTGGAGAAAATAAAAATGTTATCATAACTAATTATTGTTTTTTATAACACGAGTTTTATGAGAATGTGTCGTATTTTATGAACATGTTCCCTTTAAAAGGACAAAAATATTTTGTTTGTAGGAAGAGTGTGCAACAAAAGAATTTAAATTTTGATAATATATATACTTACCATTAATATGAAGTAATTTTCTACATATATCAAATGTATTTTGAATGTTTTCATTTCTTTATTTCAAGCTAATTAAGCAGCAATGACAAGTACATTTGCTGTCCTTCTTTATAAGGTTAAAATGAACATTGTATCATATAAGCAAATCTCATATACCATAATTAGATAAAGAAGATACTAGAATATCATTCGAAAACAAGACCAAAAGAGAAGAATTTTTTATAAAAGGAAAAAGTTACATAAATGTGCAACGATTCACTTCTTTTTACCAAATATTTTGCAAATGGTTCAGTTCAATTCTACCCATTATTCATGTATAAGATGATAATACACAGACTTTGGGTTAGATTATTTCCATAAGCACGTAGTTGACATCCTATCACTATAAAAGCCACTTGTATCGATATCTCGTTCACACACAAAAGAAAGTTTATTTTCCTTGATATCTCTCTCACATTCGATTGGTAAGTTCCTAATCTTCAATATTTTAACTTTTGATAGTCTTGTATTATATATATACCTAACTTTTGATCCTTCTCACAAATTTTCTTCAATCCCTTGAAAAAAAAATTATTTCACTCTCAAGAGGATACAGAATAGATTTTTCAATTAGATTATGACTAATAAAAAAGCCAATGGTTTTTTTTTTATCCCACGTCCTTCTTAATATGACAGAATGATATAACCAAGAGCTAGCTCGAGATTTTTTTTCCCTTTATTTATTTATTTATTTATTTGAATTCGCCAAAATCCACATGCAGTAACTTTTCCATTTCATTTATTTTGATAAGTATATGTTGCCTTGTAAATCGTAATGGAGTTTTATTAATCTTAAAGCTTTACTCTATTTTTTTTTATTTTTTTTCCCCTAGTCATTCTCTCAAAAAATGGCCAATGAACCAGCCGCGGGAGCAAGCAGAGAGAACGACGCGGTGGAGGTGAACGGCGAAAGGGTTTTCCCATGCAACTACTGCGACAAGGTTTTCTACTG